AAAGAAAGACTTAAATGAAAAGGAAGGAAGGAAGGAAGGAAGGAAGGAAGGGTGAAAAATCGAAAGGGAGAAACAAATGAACAAACAAAAAATTAAAGGAACAAAAAAGAAAAATGAAGAAGAAAGGGAACTACAAGAAATGAAAAAAGAAAGTAACAAATAAACAAAGAATTAAAGTAAAAGATAGAAAGGACAAGAAAGAAAGAACGAAAGAACGAAAGAAAGAAAGAAAGAAAGAAAGAAAGGATTGTAAAAATGAATGGTAAAGGAAAAGAAAGAGATAAAGTAAATAGGAAAACAAAGAAACAAACAAACAAATCACTGAAAGAAAGAAAGAAAGAAAGAAAGAAAGAAAGAAAGAAAGAAAGAAAGAAAGAAAGAAAGAGTAAAAGGCGGGTGAATAGGAAAAGAAAGAAAGAACCACACAAACAAAGATTTAAAGCAAAAGAAAGAAAGAAAAAAAAGAAAGAAAGAAAGAAAGAAAGAAAGAACGAAAGAAAGAAAGAAAGAAAGAAAGGATTGTAAAAATGAATGGTAAAGGAAAAGAAAGAGACAAAGTAAATAGGAAAACAAAGAAACAAACAAACGAATCACTGAAAGAAAGAAAGAAAGAAAGAAAGAAAGAAAGAAAGAAAGAAAGAAAGAAAGAAAGAAAGAAAGAAAGAAAGAGTAAAAGGCGGGTGAATAGGAAAAGAAAGAAAGAACCACACAAACAAAGATTTAAAGCAAAAGAAAGAAAGAAAGAAAAAAAAAGAAAGAAAAAAGAAAAGAAAGCAAGCAAGAAAGAAAGAAAGAAAGAAAGAAAGAAAGAAAGAAAGAAAAAAGAATGAATGTATGAATGAATGAAATAAAGAAAGAATTAAATAAATAAAAAAAAAGAAAGAAACATAGATAGAATGAAAGAAAGAATAATAAAAAGAAAGATCGAGAGAAAGAAAGAGTGAAAGGCGGCGGAATAGGAACAAAAAGAAAGAACCACACAAACAAAGAATTAAAGAAAAAGAAAGAAAGAAAAAAAAAACAAAGAAAGAAAGGTTCGAAGATAGAAAAGAAAGAATGATGAATTTTGGAAATTGTTTGCTGATACGAAAGCAACAAAAAAAATCAAAGATTTAAGCATAGAGAATGGAAACGAAAATTAGAAAAACGCGGACAGAAAAAAAAACAAAAAAGATGTTTCAAGAAAAACTGGAGGAGAGAAAGAAAGAGAACGACAGAGATTGCATTTAAAATAAACGCCATCTTTTGTCTGCTATGTCCATTCAAACGCCAAAAAATTCTTTCTTTTATTTCATAAAATAATTTTTTACTAAATTGTATTTTTCCCGAAAAGCCAGATTTTTGTCTTGATCCAGTCTTAAGCCAATAGAATCTGTTAAATGAGATGAACAAAACGGATTTAAATTTTTTAAAAATGTTGTGAAGACATGCAGTCAATAGCTGTTGCGGCCATTGAAAGAAAGCAGCTAATTTTAAAAGGCGTATTCAGTCTGGATCTATTTTTAATCCTCGTCTTTCGTATTTATTCGAGTTCATATTTTTCCAAATTTATTTATTCCCAAATTACAATATGGAGAGCACAGAAAACTAGATTAATGAATTTTTACCTTTCTTAAAATTTAAATAACAGCAAAATCTGCCGTAAAAGGGGGTTTATTTTCTTCCATATACTTCTGCCATATATGGGTAGGAGTTGCCAAGTGTTCACTTCGCAGCCTCGATAGTGTCCAAAAGCGTCTCCGTGATGAATTATTTTCCACCCTTAAAACCCCTTTCCGCTCAGACGCAACGTCGCAAGCCTCTCAATATCCCTTTGCAATTTCTGCGCAATCTGTTCCGATTGAGTATATTCCTTAGTTCCATTATTTCTAACCATCACGGCTAAGATCCGCCCTGCCTCGCCCAGTGTAGCAAGCCACCCTCATTCCCTTCCGGTTCAATTGGTGAGATGTAAATCTCACTCTAGCAGCTTCTTCCAACGTATACCCAAGAGGATGCCGACCCAATCACTGCAATCTTAACCTGTTCAACTCAGGAGTTAACCGTTATATTTCATACGTAACCCCATAAAGTGTGTCTTTTAGCTCTTACACTATCTCTACCTTGATGGGCTCTTGGGATTTAAAACGGTTGAACATTATAAGGCCGACTTATTTTATACACCGAGTTAAGTAGACAGCCCCAATTATACATGGAGGCTATTTTGGGTATATACTTTGGTCGGTGGAGGAATCGGATAGCCGAGTTCAAATTCCTGTCGAATACATTACATTCACTTACGTTCTAATACCCTTGGGAAATGTGTGAATCCTCTTCTTCTCGCCCAAGTTATGGGTAAATAGCAGGACAGACCAGGTTCTATAGCCTTGGATGGCAACTGTTTTACCGCAGAAAGAAATGACAACCTACTGCAGGAAATAAATCTGCCTCGTCAGTCATGTATCGAAAGATACATGATCGCCTAAGGGTGTATCACGCATGGCATATAACTTACTTATTTTGGTATTTACAGGGTTTATGTTAACCTGAATTTATTTTTTCTAATCGAGTTAACTGATACACACTGGGTTACTGGGTGTGGAAGATTTAGATATAGGAACATTGGGAAGGAGCAGGAACAAAAGAAGAGTAATCAGGAGAACAGTGGATAGCGATTGACATTGTATTTAATTTTTTGCAGATTAAATTTGACTGGAAAGCAAGGAGCTGAAAGAGATTTCCCAAAGTGCGAGGAAAGAAATTGTTAGCATAGAATTGTTAAAAATCATCTGTAAATTGATGAGACCCTCTTTTCCATTTATAGTAGGAAATACAAAAACGCTAAATATGATAGCAAAGAGTAATATTTATTCTGATATATATATATATATATATATATATATATATATATATATATATATATATATATATATATATATATACAGGAATATGGCGCAAGGCCAAAATAGGAATGGAGACTTAGCTAGACTTAAAAACTATCTCAAACATTCCACAATATTCCTTACACTAAAAGACATTTTTACTTACCATTTTTACTAGCCCATAATACATCAATATCTCTATGCCGTCCTAACTAGCCCCCTTATGTACAATTCCTTGTCTGTGGAGGAGAAGAATTCAACAACAATTAAAAAATTATCCCCAGTGAGTATTTACAGTCTGGATACAAAACTATTTACAAGAAACTAAGCAAAATAGTGTTAGTAATACCCATACCAATCCTTAAACTTTGGCAGAATCATCGGTTCACTGGACGAAATCAATACAGGACTTTAATAATATAAAATATTCATTCATCCCAAGCACTTACTCAACCACACACTCATACAAAACCAACAACAAATTCGAAAATCACACCCGAAAAGAAAGGCGCCTCGCATCGACCAGAGAACTGACATCACTGACCACCTAACGAGAGAGGGGTTGGGAAATTACACTAAATAAAGATAGGGACAGAAATAAAAGGAATGCAGAGCCTGGTCAGTATCTAGATGGGTGACCGCTTGGAAATACCAGGTGATGTAAGCTTGGATGTACGGGTGATGAAATGGATATTGGCTCGGAATTGTTAATCGATGAGGCGTGTCCCAATTCCAGTCAGTTTCTTTATATTAAAAGACGAGCAAATACCCTATGCAAAGAGTTCATAAGGGGCCAAAGTTAACTTGAAGGAAGAAACGAAAAAGGCAAAAACAACCCTAAACTAACCAAAATCTGGGCAGGGTTCAATAGAGGGAGGACAATATCCTCGAAGCCTAACCGGCATCAAAGTGCCACTCCAAGTCAGCCCCTTTCGTCTTATAGCGAAGAGTTTATCCTAACAATTATAGTGAAAGTATATATAGAAAGGCAAACTGAAGCTACAACAAAACGGTGGTAAAGTGACTGAAGCCGGGACGCCTTGTCAAAGAGTTCTGGATAAATAGCAGGAATACCGGACCACATGTGGCAGCAATATTCTAACTATGGATGAATGATAGATATTCTATTCTATGATAGACTTCTAGATTTATAAAACAGAGTCTATATCAACCAAAGCACAGTGATCAGATCTTCCTAGCAGTTGACCTAACAATGGATTCACTATTGTATTTTCCACTTCAGGTCAGCCGAAAACGATAGCCTAAGAAGGCTCAACGGCTTACTATCCTGAAGATCAGCATCATCCATGCTTTTGGAAGACAGGAATGGTTCTCTCAGATGATTAATAGAGAGCAGTTTAGTTTTAGAGACGTAATAGTTAACAAGTCATCCTTTGCCCCAGTTAACAACTGAATGAGGGTCGTTTTGGATATCAGCTCAAAATTTGACTTTATCAAACTGATCAGACATAGTATCAAGATAGGAGTAAATAGTTGTGTCATCAACGTCGATACCAAGTTGAGAAGTTATACCATCGGGAAAGTCATTAATGAAAATCAAAAACAAAGTAGGACCCTGGAAGGAGCCCTGGTGGGACACCTGCATTAGTATGAAAGGAACTAGAAGAATGGCCGTTCAAGATTTCTTTCGATTCGATGGGAAAGATTGGATCAGTTCCTAAATTTGTCTAGAAGCACCGTGATTTTTCAGTTTGTGTAGAAAACATTCAGGCTAAACCCTGCCGAAGTCTAACGAAAGGCCATAGTTATTTAGAGCTTCATAAACCCTTTCCGCAATTATCGTCAGTATATAAATAGTTGACCTGGAGAAATGTAAGTGTTGTGGTAGGATCCACCTAATTTGCATAGTGGAGTACCGACCATATAAATATGGTTGGTACCGGGAAGAGAGGAAGGAATCAAGAGATTCAACCTGAGACTCTGCCCGACTGCGACTCAGTCAACACATTCTCCAGGAACGGTCTTACCAGGAATATACAAAAGACTATATGTAAATATTGTGTACACATTCTCGTTTCAATACATTTTGTTCTAAGTACATTTTGTGTTGTATTATTATTCCATGCATTAGTCAAGTTTCAACAGTAAGCCATTGACAATTGGATTGTGGCTGCATCACGTTGAAACATTGTTTCCCGTGCGATCACTGAAGGTAAGGAATGCAGAGCCTGGTCAGTACCTAGATGGGTGACCGCTTGGAAATACCAGGTGATGTAAGCTTGGATGTACGGGTGATGAAACGGATAATGGCTCGGAATTGTTAATTGATGAGGCGTGTCCCAATTCCAGTCAGTTTCTTTATATTAAATGACGAGCAAATACCCTATGCAAAGAGTTCATAAGCTGTAGAAAATATAGCTTTCAATAAAAGATTAACAAAAACAAACATTAGGACCTATATTTGGTCCACAAATGTATTTTACCGTATTATGAATTACCATAATTCTCCATGTATACTAAGCATTTTTTCTAAAAAAGACAATAAGCAAAATTAGGGGTACGTATTATGCACAGTTTAAAGAAAAATCTTTAAAAAATTGCAGTTTCATAGGTCGATTTCAGTTGCGAAATGACTATTCATCACAAACATACGACAATTTGACACTAATATTCAGCGATTGCGAACCGATAAGGATCTCAAATACAATCATATGTACCTAACAATACTTGCAAATGTAAAATAAAATAAGAATTATCATAAAACAAAATTAGAATAACATTATTCTATGTTTAAAACCATATTTTTGTGAAAAACTACGTACAGATTCGGTAGATAGCACATTTTATCGAACAAAAACAGGTTGATGAGTCTGCGCAGTAGGCACAATATAGGAATTTCCGTTTCCTTTTAAAATCGTGATGATTGGAAATTTTGATAGTTGGGAGTATTTTCTATGTTAAATAATAAAAAAGTTTTAAATTTTACCAAAGAATTAATTCAAATTTATTGCACTAAGCAATGCACACTAGTAAAACCAACCGCACTTTGTACCCTCTTACCTGTTTGCCCTTTTCCCTAAAATTTGTTTTGATCGGTCAATATATGGCTATTTTAGCAAGTGTGACAGACGGACGAACGGAACTCATATAATTTTATATATAAATAAACAAATCTTCAGTGTTTCAAGTAGACACAAATATATACAAATATAGAGCTTTACATATTAGAAAAGAGTAAATTTTTTTCGAAAGACTAAACAAGGCATTCCTTTATTACAATAATATACAAGGCCAATGAGAAGAAAGGACTAAACGCCAAATAACAAAAGAGGAACTGCTCAAGATGCGAAATATGAGTTCTTCTCCTTTATGTGCCATGTCCCTTCAGGACGTTAGCGAACATGGCCCTCAACAACTTCCTCTTCTTTGTGGTTTTTAATAACTTTTGTTTTTTTGCCATTTCTCCCAAACTCTGTTTCGCTATCCATTTACACAAGATCATTTTTCTTCTTCTGACACGTGTGGTGTCCCTTCAGGACGTTAGCGATCATAGCCCTCCATAACTTCCTCTCCTTTGTAGTTCTTAACAACCTTTGTCTTCTTACCATTTCTCTCAAACCCTAATCCGCCATCGATTTCCTCAAGCTAAGTATTTTATGCATTGTTCTTTACTACCCTCTTGCCCTCAATCTGTCTTGTAAGTATCAGATTTTCTAAGCAATGTTTCCTCATTATGTACCCTAGAAAATTCAACCCTCTCTTCCTGGTGTTAACTGTAAGTTTCATTTTGTTTCCACTATCTCTAAAATTTCGCCTTTGCTCACATGTTTGATTCATGCTATCCTCAGCATCCTTCTGCAGAACCATATTTCTGTTGTTTTCATGTCTCTTCTTCATCTTTGAGGAGTTTATCCAACATTCACTGACATACAGATATCACTTAACTGTTTAGTACTCTTTTCACTGACTTTAGCAATGTTTTCTATTTCTTAATACTCTGCTTAGCTTTTGGAAGGCAACTTTGGCTATCTCAATACGCCTTCGGATTTCAGTGTCACACTTTCCGTCCTCTGTTAAACCATTTCCTAGATATTTAAATTTTTGTAATTGTTTGACTTTGATATCTCCAATTTGCTCTTCGCATTTTGAACTCATCCGTTTGCTAACAACCATGCATTCTGTCTTCTTGTAGTTTACATTTAGTCCTTTCTTCTCGCTTTCTTTCATTAATTACTGTAGGAGTTTTGTAGTTTTCTTTCTCTGTCTGCTATCAATACGGTGTGCTGTGCATATATTATGTTGTTAAAATTTTCGCTGCCAATAATGAATCCTGGTAGGACTTCTAATTCTTGCAGAATCGCCTTACGGTATAGGTTGAATAAGTCCGGTGAGAAGACACATCCTTGTCTTACACCCCTTTCTATTTTTGCATATCTGCTGAACGCATTTTCTATCCGTAAGCAGACGTTTTTCTGCCAGTATAGATTCTTGATTGCTCTAATAATCTTCCCAAATATGTCAACGTTGTTGTACTGTTCCAGCAGATCTTTGTGGCGTATTTAATAGAATGCCTTTGCTTAATGTATGAAACAAAGGTATACGTCTTTCTGCATCTGTATTGCTCTTTCTGATAACATTCTGAGCATAAATATTGCCTTCCTTGTTTCAGTGTTTTTGACGAACCCGTACTGTTCTTGTCTTATTTCCAGTTTGATTCTGCTGTTCGCTCTATTCATCAGAATTCGGATAATGATTTTTTTTTTATACGGATTACTGGACTGATTGTCCGCTGGAGTTCGCATTCGTTGGAACCTGCCTTCTTAGGCGATGTTATGAATGTAGACATACTTAGGTACTCCGGTATCTCACCGAAATCGTCTAATCGTCCTCTTTTTTTAATCGTATACGGAAAATGTGAGAACAAACGCCGAAACAGCACTGAAATAGCGAAGCATACATTCCAAAACTAAGCAAAGTATTTAGAAACAAGGATATGTCGTTAGTAGTAAAAACAATAACAAAGAACGAGCGTTAAACTGTTTGATACTATCACTGAATGCTGAACAAAATCATCACAGATAAAGTAGAGATTTGAGCTAATAAAAATGCTGATCTACAGGAGGATGTTGAGTATGCTTTGTATTTCATTCAAAATCTATGGACGAATGGTGAAGTTACAAAAGATGTCCAGAAGGACACGGTGAACCAACTTTCCAAGCAACTGATTTTATATAAACTTTCCACTGGAAGATTTTCCGTCTAATGAAGATGAGATACGAAGCCACATATATATGGTAGTATAGGTGGATGATGAGAATAAAGAAAATTGGAACTAAAAAAATAAAATCAGTTATATTTAAAACCAGAAAGAGACAGTATAAAATCTCAGAGGCAAAGTTAGACGAAATTATGAGGAAAGAAGGATGAAAAATTAAACACTCTCACAAGATACTGAAACTAAAAGGCATTGGACGAAGCTACGAGTAACTTACCGACTTAAGTCTAGACACTGGTATGACAATTTGACTAAGGCTAAACAAACTTGTACGACTTGTGGGTTGTCTGTCTACGCAATAGCCAATGTGCTGTATAACCCCCTAGTACTGGGGAGTTCTTGGGTGACGGCCTCGATTCGATAATCGAAGACGTCGCATTGTTTTCTTAAGATGAATTCTTCTCTCGCACCCGGTGGTCGTTAGTTGCCTTGAGTCCAGAAAGAAAAACAAAAAAACTTCAACACAGGAAATTTTTAACTTAATTATTTTATTAACGTCGACGTATACATACTATTCAGTGTGATCGCTCACTCTAACTGGGGAGCCGTTTCAGACACGTAAGCGATCACGTCTACATTCCTTGCTGTATAAGAACCAACTGACTGAAAACCTTTTTCTAGAATCTATCACGCTGACTCGGCTAATCAAAATCGACTTCCCATATTTTAACTTGTATCTGACCCCATGGTTAACCTCAGGAAGTCAGAGCAGAGATACCATTGCTCTAAAAATTATAGCCTGCCAAACAATTATTTAAAAAATATATAGTTCACCATTCTGAGAATACCAACATTACATTGTCTAAAATTACAAAAGAAAATTAAATTAAAATTAAACAAAAATATACTTCAGCAATTTTTTTTATGTGCAAGCAGATTCACGGTAATATTTACAGATTGTCTATGATATATAAAGTTGATAGATGAATTCGTTTCCTTTTTATAATTTATTTTAATACACATTATTTATAAATAGTTCGGCTGAATCATGCAACAATGTATTTTTTTCATTGTTTACGATATCCTCCTAAAGATTCACTTACTGTTCAATGCATCAATGATAGAAATCACTAGGTTTTGACACGAAAATTCATCAATTCACGTTTTAAGCTCGTTATCTTTGTCGAAAGAAACACCCCTCAAATTATTAGAAAGTGACCGAAAAATGTGGTAGTCTGAAGGGACTAAATCAGGGGAATACGTGGCACAACTTTCCAACCGTTCTCTTTAATTGCATGTTTGATCATATTACTGACATGAGTGTGAGCAGTGTCATGTTGAATAATCCCGCTGTACGAACGGTCAGTTCTTTTCAGCAGAATTGGCTCTTTGAGCCTGTTCATTTGTTCAAATGTCTTGAGCAGCTTTTTGAGCTTGACTGAAAGCAAAGGGAAGATGTTGAACTTGCTCATTCTTCTCTGCTGATATTTCTTTTACAGGAATGCTAGAAATGATTATTCTTTGACATCATTCTCACAACATCAGAAAAAACGTCGAATATATTTAACTGCCGACTTACAGGAAATAAAACTTACTATTAACAGTAAAAGAGTGGAACTGAGAGTTTCTACAAAGGCTCGAAGACCTAGAAAAATGACGTAGAATAAATGTCATCCGCTGTTATCAAAATAAATGAGCATGACTGGAATTCGAAATCAACAAGGATCATTTTTCAATCAATTACACTATTCAAGTGTCCAATTATTTTTGGTTCGATGTATTTGAAGATGTCTCACGAGAGCTTGAAGGACAGTGAATATCTGTCGTGAGGTAAGAGTTCGGAAGATTTTTAAAACAGGGGAATATGGACAGAAGGAGAAAGAAAAAGAAAGAACTAGGAAAATATAGATAGATAAAGAGGGGGAGATAAATACCTGTTAACGCATTGGGATAGATATGAATAGATTGAAATATATATATACAGACTGTATCAAAACTAGTTTTACAAACTTTGGGGAGGGCTTCCTCACACTGTATAAACATATGCCCGTAAATCCTTCGTT